CTGAATCCTTAAACGACTTGTTTGTCCCCATCTCCTCCACATGTTATACTGACATCAAATATAGTGAAAGCGGGGGTTACACTGTGGGGGAGGGACATACAAAGCAACAAAGAAATAATCTTATAAATGCTTTAGAAACACATGCATGAAAGAAACAAAAACATTAAAATACATATTTAAGGGTTCGTTTTCCTAACATCACATTATCTGACCTTTTCCGCTTGACTCATACCTATACTAGATATTGCAAATAAGGGAAACCATGGGACCTATGTTTCTTTGGGCCTGGCTTACTTCACTTAATATAATTTTTTCCAAGCCTTTCCATTTCCTAACAAATGGGGAAATGTCATTCTTTCTGATGGAGGTATAGAATTCCATTGTGTATATATACCACATTTTCTTGATCCATTCATCTACTGAGGGGCATCTGGGTTGGTTCCATATCTTAGCTATGGTAAATAATGCTGCAATAAACATAGTTGTGCTGGTAGCTTTAGTGTGGTCTTTTTTGTAAACATTAGGTAAATGCCCAAAAGTGGGATTGCTGGGTCATAGGGGAGTTCTATGTGAAGTCTTAAGCATATGCACACACACACACACACACACACACACACACACACACACACACACACACACACAGTATGCAAACTGGAAGGAAGACAGTAGAATGGAAGCATTTAAGATCCTTTTATTGCCTGAGAATAGGATAAAAGTACAAATTGACATTACACCAAACGATAAATGTTATATTCTCTAGGACAGCAATTCTTAAGTGTAGCCTGCCCTTTTAAGAGGTCCAAGTGATGAAAACTATTTTTTTTATAATAGCTCTAGATGTTAGTTGCCTTTGCATTCTCTGTCTCTCAGAGTGTTCTGTGGAGTTTTCTAGAGGTTACGTGAGTGTGACATCGCCACAGATTGAACACAGTGGCAGGGATGAAAATCCTCTACCACCTTCTAGGAAGCCAGACAATGAAGTTTTGCAAAAATGTAAAACAAAGTAAGTCTTTTCATGCTATATTTTTCTTTGCAAGAATATATTTCTTATAAAAACAGATGCTGTTTGTGTTGACATGTAATGGCACATTAATCAGGATTCTGCAGGGAAAAAAATCCAATTTTGTTTCATTTATTTTTCTCTCGTTTTCAGTTCTTATTGGCATAGTTCAAGCCAGAGTCCAAAGATCAAAGTCTAAACAACAATAACAACAACAATGAAAGAAAAACAAACAATGCTGTGGTTCCAGCTTCAGATAGCAAGCTCAGGACCCATGAGCAGCCAGTGCTTTCCGTTTAGTGTAAAGGCGGGAAAAACACAAAGTTTCGATTTGAAAAGCTTCATGAAGCAGTTCTCTCTTATTCAGCATTTGTGTTCTATTCAGATCTTTGATTGATTGGATGAGGACAATCCCCATTGGAGAAAGCAATCTGCTTTACTCCAGTCTGCTGATATAAATGTTAATCCATCCCAAATACCCTCACAGGAATATTCCATAATGGCTGAGCAACTATTGAGGTAGCTCATGGCCCAGTCAGATTATTGCATCAAATTGATCATCACAAGTGGGTAGATTTTTCCATCCGTTTAACTTTTCATAATTAGTAAATATTTTTAAATTATCTCAGTGTTAATTTCTGCCATACTAAATACCAAAAGAAGAATACAGTGCTAGTGGGAATGTAAAGGGGATCCAAGGCCAAAATATGTGAGAATCTCTGCAATAGGTAAACATTAGTGAAAACATATAAATATAACTACCTTTTCACCAGAGTGAGGGAAAAAGGGAGAATGAAATTATTTTTTAAAAAAAGAAAAACATTCAATCTGCTTGGTGGAGGTGGTTCACACCTGTAATCCTAGCTATTCAGGAGGCTGACATCTGAGGATCACGGTTCAAACCCAGTCCAGGCAGGAAAGTCTGTAAGACTCTTAGCTCCAATTAATTACCAAAAAGCCAGAAGTAGACCTGTGACTCAAGTGGAAGAGCACTAGCTTTGAGCAAAAAAGCTCAGGGACAGCACCCAAGTCCTGAGTTCAAACCCCAGGACAAGGACAAAAAAATTCAATCTGAACAAAAGCATAGAAGAAGATAAAAGAATATATGTGGGTTATTTCTTTTAGATACAAATCCCTTATTAGCTATATGACTTGCAAGTATTTTCTCCTAGTTGGTGGCTTATCTTTGCTTCTCTTAACAATGTCTTTTAAAGGATAGAACTTTTCATTTTGATGTTCAATTTGTGAATTTTTCTTTTCAAGTTTTGATTTTGGCATTGAAGCAACTACTACTTGCCTAATCCAAGGTCACATAGTTTATCTCTTATTTTCTTCTGAAAGTGTTTTAGTTTTTGTTGTCCAATCGTGCTAGATTGTTCCCTGCCGGGGACGTCGTAGGTGGTATGGTACCCTTCCACGCCATATCCCACTGTACTTTTTAAGCACCCATGGGTTGAGCCTGGTAGCAAAACTTGATAATTCTTACCCTTCTAGTTTCCCAGCTTCAATTCATTTTTTTCTTCTTCTCAGAGAAAAGATTTTTCACCTAGTCGGAGGCCTGGTCTATAGTAAGTGCTTACTGATTCTTATGGAATTACAGAATCAATAAATGAATGAGTTCTGAGTCTTCTACACAGTTTTATACATGGAAATGGATGTACTGACAAGGACCCTCATTCACATGACCACATAGATCCGTACATAGAGGAATACACACACACAGACACACGGACACACATACAGACACAAACACATACACACACACACACCACCTGTGTTGGGTCTCCTCTCCATCTGTTGGAGTTCTTAGTCCACTGGCCTGAAAATACCCATTCTTAGCACATGTCTTCTAACTCTTCTAAAAGGGCCAGAGACAGGATGTTAGGACACAGTTCCCAGGCCCCAGAGCTAGAGAATCAGAAATGTACCCCCATGCCTAACTTCAAGTGTTCTTGCTGCGATGGAGCATGTGTGGATCCGTGTATGAATGTGGATAGATACATGGATGTGTGTCTGTGTTAGCCCTATTTGCATGGATTCTCAGCTAGGTGTACGTGGGATGTGCATATGTGTGGATGTATGTTCACATGTAAGTGCTTCTGTACAGGTGTGGTTGTTTGTGTATGTGGGAAGTGTGGATGTGTATGGGTGTGCACTTGCACATCTGTGGCTGGGTATATGTATAACTCTGTAGATGTGGAGAGGGAGGTGAGGGAGTGTGTATATGTATGGACTTGTGGGTGTTTGCCTGTCTCCAGGTGTATTACCTGCATGCAGATGTGTGTCCATATGCTTGTGTAGTTCTACAAGGGTTTATGAGTGGAGATGTGTGTTGGAATGCAGTTGTATATTTGGATGTGCCCTCATGCAAGTATGTGTGCCTACATGTGTATCTGCATGTGAGTATGTGTGGGGGCAGGTGTGTGTATTGTACGTATACGAAAATGGGGCTGCAGCTGATTTTGTAGGTGTGTGGCGATAACTGGGTGTAATTGCACAGAAGTATATTTGTGTATGTGAGAGTGAAGTTGGGGGGAGGTCTCTCCATGTGTCTATGTCCATTTCTACTTGTGCAGGTACAGACTGAGGGATGGAGTGTCGATGCTGTCTGTCCAGGCCTTTATGTCCCACAATCCTCTTAGCAAATCCTTTAACCCACTCCTTCCTTTAGTTTTCCCATGTATAAAATGGGGCCAGCAACAGTTTCTGCACCACATGATGTCTGTGAACTTTCAATGGACTGATTTGGGATGACTGCATTGCTTTCTCATGACTTAGTACCCTCTGAGCTCCTACTATGGCCGTTGCACTGCACTTGAATGCTTGTGGGCTTACTAGGACTGTTCTGGCTCCAAACTTCCCCAAGAGCAGATCTCCTGAGGGATCTGTCTCAGATGGCTGCAGGGAAGCCTTTCATGTGACCCCAGGACTGAGGATACCTACTTCTCACATTCAGCCAGGTGACAATGTAAGCAAAGGTAGCCAGGGGCTACAAGGCCTCAGTCGCTTTTCTGGGGCCCCTGATCCCCAATTTGGTTTCACTTGGTCTCTCCAAGGCCCAAATCTGGACGTCAGGACAGTGGCAGCTCCTCAGCCATTGACTTCTGTACTTAACCATGTTGGATGAGGCTGGGCAGAGAAACACTGAATTTAATAAAGCCCAGGAATCGAGAGAGCTCTCTAAACCAAATCAATCCTCGATGTGTTTTTAATTAAGTTATAGCCCTTGTGATTAAAGAGTGTGAATTTCATTACTGTGACCATTTATCAAAGAGCATACCCACTGAACCTTTCCAATAGGCAGGGTAATAGGCTTTTTATTTTGGTCAGTACCAAGCGCCCCAGCTTGTATTTTGACTGACTCATTGAGGAGAATTGTCACCCCTCGCAATCTTCCACCCACTCAGAAGTGAGAAAATCAGAGCTGCCTCCATATTGCCCATCAATAGGCCATGGCAGGTGATGTGAAACCTCTGTTTTGGTTCAACTGTTCCTCACAATCTACACCCAGAAATTGAGATTCCGAAGCAGGGATCCTAGACATCTCAAATATTGGAGTTGGCCTGGCCTGGCCACTGCTCATGTGGCTAATTTTAAAAAGGGCTGGTGAGGAAAGGCAAGGCAAGGGACATGACATTGAACATTAGCCCTTTAAAGACAACTTCAGAAACTGCCTTTGCTAGGTTCTTGATGTGTGTGTGCACGCAATGTGTGTGCATATGTGCATATATTCTTGTTGTCATTATTTAGAGAACACTTTATTCATTTCTGTAACCAAACCCATGTAGATAAGACCTTATATATTTAATACAATGTGTTAACCCCTGTACAAATGGAAAAAAATGAACGTTTCTAGACTAAGATAGCTATTCATTTCTGTACAATGCCAACTCAGCAAGGTAAACTGGGATACTTTTTCCAAAGTTGACAGCAGAACTAAAGTTTCCAAAAATTCAAGTTATATATATGTGTGTATGTATGTATATATACATATACATTTAAAAATATAAAACAAAATATAGAACAATTAATGAATTTGCACGGGGGCAATGCTAATCTTCTCTGTATCATTCCAGTTTTAGTATATGTGCTGCTGAAACAAGCATATATATTCTCCATCCTTTTGGAAATTGTTCTGTTGAAGTGTTACATAGAGAACAGTGTCAGATCATGCAGTCAAACTTGATGAATTGCACAAAGTGAGTACATCTGTGTAACCAGAATACAGATCGAGAAACAGTTTCTTTGACTCAATATTATGCTTTCTTTATGAATATGAAATAATTTAATTATCTACTCTATTCTTTTTTGGGGGGGGAGTCCGGTTGTGGGGCCTGAACTCTGGGTCTGGGCGCTGTCCCTCAGCTCTTCAGCTCAAGGCTAGCGCTCTACCACTTGAGCCACAGCACCACTTCTGGCTTTTTTCTTTTTGCTTATGTGGTGCTGAGGAATCAAACTCAGGGCCTCATGCATGCAAGGCAAGCACTCTACCACTGAGCCACCTTCCCAGCCCTTCTACTCTATTCTTGATGGGCATTTGGATTATGGTCAGTGTGGATCTATGAATAGCACTGCTATGACATTTGTGTACCTGTCTACTGAGGAATACCCAATTGTGCATCAAATAGCAATCAGGACACATTCTAGGATATAATTCTTAAGGCAATTTCATCTTATGCAGCCATGGAGACAAGAGTAGTGTCTGAGTGTTGACAGACAGCAGATATGGTGTGTTCCTTCTTGATTAGGTTCCTTGGAACTTGTAGGAAATAGAGGGACTATTTTTGAACTAATTTTGAGATATTTATTCCTGGATATCCCTGGGTACATATCTCATAGAACTGTCCAGAATATATAATATATAAAAATTCCTACAATCCATATGAAAACATACATGTTCCAATAGAAAATCTGGCAAAAATGTGATAAAATACACACACACACATACATACATACATACACACATACATACATATGTACAAACAATACAACATATATATTATAAATATATTCTGAGTATGATCTTCTCTCATTCTTATTTTTGTAAACAAAAATGTTAATTACAATGCAGTCTAATTTGTGATTTTTATATAGCTTGCTTATTTTGTACCCCATTTAAGCTATCATTGCCTACTCTAAGGTCATTAAGATGTTCTCTTACAAAATGTATACTCTTTTTTACTATTTTACACTTCCCCTAGAATTGATCTGGGAATATGGTATGAGGTAGGGATCACAATATGCTTATTCCATATGATATTCAGTTGGTCAATGCAATTAATTAGTAACTTATCAAAAACACAATCTTTTCCACAAATCAGTTCCCTCTGTATACAGATCGATTTCTGGATTCTTTATTCTGTTACTTTCCAAGTTGACATTCAATTGTCCTTGCATAAATATTTAGTATAGTATTCTTAATATCAAATATTAATATTAAATATCTGAAGCCTGCTTAGTTTTTTTTATTGGGATTGTGTTGAATCTGTGAATCAACTTAGGAATAATTGATATATTTGCAGTATTTTGTCTCCCATTGCGGGAATAATGACACCTCTATCCTTTTGTTCAGACCTTTAAATTTTTTCTTTCAATGTTATCTTGCTTTAAGAGAATTTACTCAGGAGGTGGAGACATGGAGGATCATAGTTCAAAGTTATCTTGGGCAGGAAAGTTCACAGGACTTTATCTCCAATTAGCCAGCAAAAACCAGGGCTAGAGAGGTGGCTCAAGTGATACAGTGCTAACTGTGAGAAAGAAATCTGAGTGAGTGCAAAACCTGAATTCAAGAAACTCAGAAAAGAATGTGTAGAGGTTTGTTGATGTTACTGTAAATGGCAGGTTTTATCATTTTATTTTGTATTTTTGCCGATACAAACATTTAAAACTATATTGACTTTGTATCTTGCTACCTTGCTCAACTCACCTATTCTGATAATTTGTCTCATACATTCCACTGTATTTCTTAGGTAACCAGTCTTATAGTTTGCAAATAATAGATTGATTCATTCAATTCTAATCTTTTTACTTTTCCCGCAGTTTCTTACACATATAATTGAATGAAATTGGGTATCTGGTATAATGTGGAACAGAAGTGATGACAGTGGGAAGCTTTTCTCACTTTCAATCTATGGGGTAATATTTTACTATTCTTCTATTGATGATGATAGTTGCTATAGAATTTGTTTGAAGATTCTCTTCACAGTTCAGAAAGTTCCCTTCTACTCATAGACTTCAGTGGTTTTTTTGCTTGGTTTTTCTTTCATCATGGATGGCTATTGAATGTTGGTGAATTTTTTTTTCTGCACCTCTGATATTCCCCTTTTCTCCATTAATATGATTAATCATATTGACTGAATTCCACGTAGTAAATCACCTTCCTATGCCTAGAATAAGTCTTAATTGATTGTTGAATTAGGCTGTTTCCCAGAAGCAGATACTAGATCAAGCATTGGAGTACATGTGGTTTATTTGAGAGGTGATCCCTGAGAGCAGTAGAAGGAGTATGAAGACAAAGTGCTCTCTCTCATCATATACACATGAGTAGAGAAAAATATACATGAACATATATGGATAGACATATGAATGGGATCAGACGAGTACACACATACATATGTAATATGCAAGGTGCATATCTGGTAAAGAACTATTTCAATTTGAAAATTTATCTCTACCAAGCCCCAGGAGTCAACAGGGCTGTGTGCCTCGATATGTTGCCAGCCTCTCAATTCAGAAAATTTAGTGCCATTGCCCGCTGCCTATCAACTTCTGCACACACTATGACTTGACTGTGGGAAAACTGGCCATCTGAGGCTGACGATGGAACCCAATCTACCAAATAACTGTGGACAGCCACTGGAAGAGGACCAGAATGGCCCCAATGCCAAGGAGTTCTGGTACCTTGTTGCTGTGGCTGCTGGCTGTGGTTTGGGGACATGTCTTGCAGAGGAAAGAGAAAGAGATTGCCACAGAGCAAAGACTCTGTGCCAAGCCCCGTGCTAAGGAGTTTATACTCATGATCTCATTTATATACACACAGGTCTCATTGGGAGCAAGGCACAGCAGAGTGGGAAGATAAGTTTTGGGTACTGTTTGCTTGGCAGTGCCTGGGATCAAAAGCCAGCATGGAACCATCCACACAAGGACCTTCTATTCGACATCTCACTCACTGGGGCCAGTTCATTTATGGATAAGTTTGACTTAGAATGTATTTATCATGATGTGTCTGGATATAGGTAATGACTTTCTGAATAAGACTTCAATGGCTCACGAAGTAAGAGTAAGAATTGACAAATGGGATTGCATCAAATTAAAAAGCTTCTGCACAGTAAAGGATTTAATTAACTTAAAAAATGGGAGAAAAACATTGTTAGCTATTCATCCAACAGAGGATTAATATCTAGAATATATAAAGAATTCAAAAAATTAAGCTTTAACAGAACAAATAATCCAATTAATACATGAGCAAGTGAATTGAACAGACAAGTATCAAAAAGGGGAAATACAAGTGGCTAATAAATGTATGAAGAAACGTTCAACATTCTTTGTCAAAAAGGAAATGAAAATCAAAATGACATTAAGATTCCATCTCTCCTAAAGTCAGAATCGTCATCATAAATAATACAATCAACAATAGATGCTGGTCAGGATTGAGGGAATAAGAAGTCCTTATATGCTGTTGATGGGAATGTAAATTAGTGCAGCCACTATAGAAACCAGTATTGAGATTCCTTAAAAAACTAAAAGTATAACCATCATGTGAATGCGCTATACCACGTCTAGGCATATATCCAAAGGAATGTCAGTAGACAATAAATATAGATGCACACCCATGTTTATAGCATCACAGTTTAAAATGGCCAATGTAATTAGTCAGTGTAGGTGACCAACAACTGACTAATGGATAAAGAAAATAATGAATATATATGGGTATTATTCAGACATAAAGAAGAACAAATGATGTCTTTTGCAGGAAAGTGGATGGAACTGTAGATGATCATGTTGGACATTATAAGCCATATAAAGAAACAGAAATATGGAATGTTCTCTTCCAACTTGCAGAATCTAGATCTAAAGAAATAAATGACTTGGGTGCAAAGGAGGGACTGTTGGGGAGTAGAAACGAGCGGGAGGGAGATTGGTGAGGATAAAGAGGGCTTAACACGATTAAAGTAGTTTATATGCATGTGTGATAATAGAATAACGAAATCCAAATTGTTTTAAGAAGGAGGGATAAGGAGGAGTCATAGAGGGGGGAGGTTTGCTTGATGACAGTACACTATTTGCATGCATGGAAATATCACAATGAAAACCTTTTGTACGATTAACATATGTTAGTTGTAAAAGGGCATGCTGGGAAAAGGCCACGGAGGCAAGGCTCTCATGAAAAATACTGCACGAAGTGATTGGACTGAGAAGACCTCAGCCGCATAAGAAGAATACAAAGCAGCTCTAGCACGTAGGCTGATGTGCACTCAGGTGTATACAAAATGCTATACCAGCCCCCGACTTGGTGTAATCATCTATGAAGCCCAAGCAGGAATTGGGCCTTAGCCTTTTTGTATAAGTAAGGAAACTAAGGTTCAGAGAGGTGAGGAGACAGCTTAATGGTCCATAACCTGTGTGGGAGACTAACAGCCCACAAAGATGTCCACCTAGTAAGTCCGGAACCTGCGGGGATGTGACTGGCCATGGCAAAAGGGATCTTGTAGAGACTTGATTAAATTAAGGATCTCCACATGAGGATGCCATCCTGGATTACCTGAGATGGCTCTAAAATCAAGCATAAGAGTTCTTGTAGGAGGGAGACAGGGGGACAGCATGCTACACACAGTAGAGAAGATGTGATGACAAGAAACAGAAGTTGATTTGCTTTGAGGATGGAGGAAGATACCACAAGCCAAGGAATATAGGTGGCCCCTAGGTGGAAAAAGGAAGAAAATGGATTTTTCCCTATAGAACCTCTAAAAAGCGACTTGGTCTCTTGAAGAGTTGGATTTCAGCCCAGCAAATCTGTTTTGGATTTCTGGGCTCCAAATGTACAGAGGAGTAAATGTGGGTTGTTTAAAATCATTTGGTAATTTGTTAGAGCAGCAGGGAGAAAATT